ATAAAGAATAGACCATGACATTGAAAAAAAGAGCACATTGACAAACCAGTTTGAAACTTTATAGAACATGACATTGAAAAATGGACCACATTGACAAAGACTTTCACTTTCTATATGATAAAAAGCCACATTCACATAACAATTTGGAATAAACAATTAGACCATACAAGACCTTCACTTTCCATCTCAGATAAAAGAAAGCAATAAATCTCAGACTAAACCCTAAGCCTCATAACCCAGAGGCCAACATCAAAGTTAAACATAAACATAAAGGAAAAACTCGAGTACAGAGCACACAATTTCTTACCGTAGATAGGAGGTAGGTCCCTATTGTTTGTCTTATCTCGCAACTGATACATTTGCGCTTCGGTTATCAACTGAAAAACCTAATTGCTTGCTTGTTGTCTCTGATCATAATGCCCGTGATCTGCTCTAGGGTTTTTGTTCTTGTGAGAAATTGAGAAGAAAAAGAGGAGATAAAGTGTATGTTTTAGTTTAATTTTTGATTAATTTGTTTTCAGCATTTAAATTTTCTTTTATTTTTGTTTGGTCAAAGTTGACATTAGTCAACAAATAATAAAAAAATAATGGACATCACGGTCTCTCAAAAACTGACCGTTAATTGACAGAAATTAAGCTAAGGGACTACATTTTTGTGTTTTAAGGACTAAAATTGGACACCTAAACATAATAGGGACTCAGTCTGGACACCCCTAAACATGGAGGACCAAAAGTGGACTTTGTCCATTATATATTTAAGAAACAATAATTTTAACTTTAGCAAACTAAATTTATGATATTTTTTCATCGTCATGATAAAAGCAAAGTACCACGAGCAATCAAAAGAAAAAGAGCTTAAAAGGTGGGCAAGGGGACACAAAGGGAAATAAAGTTGCAAACTTTTGCAAACACAAAAAAAAAACCCATGTCATAAGTTCAAAACACACACACACACACACACACACAGAGACACCCTGGAGTGTGCCAATTTTAGAGAGAGAAAAATGGAGGAGAGAAGCATATTCTAGGGAGACTTCAAAGGGCGAGAGAGAGAGAGAGAGAGAGAGAGAGAGAGAGAGAGAGAGAGAGAGAGAGACTTTTATTTGTGCTGTGTATTTATTTTTGTAGTTGGTGCAGCTTTTCTTGAAAAGCTTCTGCAGCTCGGGCGTACCAAAGGTGATGAATTTATCTGTAAATTGAAAATCTTTATTACATGTAATTTGTTTTATATATCTGTTCTGTTCCATGTGATGAACAAAATCTTGTGAAGAAATTATTATCTGGGTTTCGTTTATTCTCCTTGAGAGGGAGCCCTTCAGTTGAAGCATCATTGTTTGCTTCTGTGTTTGGTCCTTTTTTTGCCCATATTGAAATTTTTCCATGAAACCCTCCAGCAGCTGAATTTTGTGTACCCAAATTGATAAATTGATAAAAGGCTAATTCTTGATAAGTTTTAGTGAAATTTGAGGATCATGTCATGTTTTAGACCCATTTAGGTAGCTTAATCTGACTATATTGTTGTTTCTATGATGCTAGTACAAATATTAGACCCATTTGTTGTTCTTGAAACTGATAAAAGGTTTCATTTTTCAACTGCTCAAACTGAAAAACCGGGCCGATGAGGAATTTTTTTTCGTATCCCGCTGTTCAGTGCTCGTATTCGTTTGCGCCTAACAAAAATTGAAACTTTTATATTGCAGAAGTTTGGTAGGAGTTATTAAGCTATATGTAGAGTGGAAATCGAGTCTACTGTGCTGGCTGCTTTCAAATAGGGGGGTTACATTGTAATGCTTGAAAGATGGGGAAGAAGGGGAGCTGGCTTTCAGCCATCAAAAGGGTCTTCACACACAGCTCAAAAGACAAACCAACTGTTGTAAGTAACTCTGTGATTTTTTCTTTTATTTTTTTTTTCATTTATTCTTTAAGGAGGTGAGTACGCGAATTGACATAGTTTCGGTTTGAAAATGCCCTTTTAGTCAGTGAATGGTAAAAAATACAGAAGAAATATTTCGTTGACGAAGGAAGAATGATGTAAAAGTGAGTTAAAATTGTGTGAAATTAAAATTGACTTGATATAAACTTAGTAAAATAATGATATGGATTTGATTAGTAGTTAGTGATGGTGAGTTGGATGACTAGTTAAATTATTTGGAAATGTGTAAAAAGTAAAGAGTGAGTTGATGATCTTTGGTGAAAACAAGAGTTGGAGAAGAGAACATGAATGCAAGTGAAAAAGGGAAACTTTTGAAATTTTGTGAAAAATTTTTACTGAATTGAGATAATACCAACTGCTCATCAGGGATCGGAAAAGAAGGGAGGTAAGGAAAAGAAGAAGGACAAAGGAATTCGAAGGCCGGAAAAAAGCAAATCGTTGCTTCCTCTGTTCAGAGAGCCGAGCAGCATCGAGAAGATTTTAGGGGAAGCCGATCAACTGCTTATTAGGCCTAATATTACAAATATTGTTACTACTACTAATAATGATGATAGTACTAATATTAATGTTACTAATAATGCCATTACAAGTTCATCTTCGAGTCCACCGATCTTACCGGCAAAACCACTCTCTCCTAGAGTTACTTCTCCAAAAGCCACTTTTTCTCCTCCTTTGAAGGCTTTAACAAGTGGGGTCTCATCTTCTTCTTCGGAGGCATTTATTCCTAAGGTGACAACAGATAATAGAAAGGAAATTACGAATGTGCCCACTTTGACAGACCAAAACCTCTCAGCTACTAAGATCCAGGCTGTGTTCAGGGGTTACATGGTAATTGATTTTCTTCAACTGTCGGGAAAAAGCATTTTTCTTCTTTTTTTTTTTCCAGTTTTTGCTAGTTCTATGCGAAGTTCTACTATTTGTTGTTCTAGCTTACTTTAAAATGCGGGTGTTTTTTCCTTACGCGTCATTCAGAAATACGATCTTCTTGGTATCATATTGTTATATCATATTTCTGATAAAATTGTGAAAAAAAAAGCATTTATTAACGGTCCGTGTCAACCAAGTCTCCCGTCAGCAGCAATTTTACGGCTGAAAAAAAAAATGGTCATGTTTATTTAAAGTTAGAAAATTGAGTGAGTGTTGGTAAGCTGTTTACTTGTTTTATTTGTATTTATCCGTATGGAATAATTTAATGCTTCATAGGCGAGAAGAAGCTTCAGAGCTGTAAACGGTTTGGCGAGACTTCAAGAAGTGCTTAAGGGCCAGAATGTGAAGCGGCAAACGGCAAATGCCATGAAACAATTGCAGCTGTTCGTGAGGGTTCATACACAAATTCAATCACAAAGGATACGGATGTTGGAAAACCAACGGCAAGATTATAGGATCCATAATAAAGATCTCGAGAGTACCCTCAGCAAATGGACCAATCAACTGGTTTTCCTCATCATTTTCTTTCTTTCTTTTGTTTGGAAATATCTTTAAATTTTCACATATTCTTTCAGGAAAAAAAAAAGTGTATGATTTTTACGAGTGGAAGACATTCCAAGTTGATTTATAAGCTCTATATGTATGGAAAGCATATGCCTCTACTAGATATGAAATTGTTTCTAATAGTGGAATATTTTCTCGGTTTGCTTTTGTTTATAGTCTGAGAATGAGGATTGGGATGATAGCCTGTTAACAAAAGAGGAAGTTGAAGCAAGACGACGGAAGAAAGCCGAGGCTGTTATAAAACGAGAGAGAGCCATGGCCTATGCATACTCTCACCAGGTAAATTTGATTAAGTTATTGGTTGAACTTTTGTGATCAAGTTTAGCTAACAAGTCGTTTTCAATTTGATTATATTGATTTGAGGTATTCAATCTATCTTAACTTTGACTCGACGACAATCTCTTCACAATTTTCGATGTTGAAATCCTGCCCTGCAAAGACCTCGAAAATCACCCTTACCTTACCCTTCACCCGTTGCATTACCGAATTGATTTCAAGATTATTAGAAATCAAAACTAAGGCTATGTTGCTGATAAGATAGCTTATATTTTGAAGTGAATTTCGAGTTTATAGATGATAGCTTACGACTTATGGCTGAAAAGTGTCTGGTAAATTAGTTGATAAGCTTGCTTAAATAAAAATTTCAATGGGCTCATTTGAAAAGCTACCACCCAAGGAAGCTTATCAGATAAGCTCGAGTTTTTTTAAAAAACTCTTACCATGGAGCTTATAAGCTAATCAAATAAGGTATAAGCTATCGCTTATGTGCTTACCTAACATAGTCTAAAACTTCACCAACTGTCTTGAAATTGATTCAAAAGTTTCGAAAGCTAACAACTTGGAATATAGACTAGTCTGCAGTGCATTTATAGTGATAGCACTAGACCGACTTTTCCTCTGACAAGTTTCGGGTTCTAATGTTCGACGAAAAACAGCTGTGGAAAGACAGCCCATCATCAGCCCACAGCCCTCTCGACCCCCGAACCAACGGGTTCCCTTGGTGGTGGAACTGGCTAGACCGCCAGCTCACGGACTCGAAAAACGTCCTCCAAACCACCACCCCTCCTCCAAGTGGGCCCACCTCCGAACGCGGGCCGAGCCACCGGGCCCACAACAACAACCGGGAATCCACTACCCCACAGTCTTCGAGGTCGGTGGCCGTGGGCCCCGCCTGGGCCCGCTGCCACCCGACTGGAACTCGTTTCCCGATGAAGGACAATGATGACGATAGCCTTGTTAGCTGCCCTCTGTTTTCTGTGCCGAGCTACATGAGCCCGACCGTCTCGGCAATGGCCAAGGCGAGGAGGTTCACTGGTACGCGGGCCGATAGCGGGACGGGTCGGAGGTTCTCTTTCCCCCTGACTCCGAACTCGGGCCGGTGGGGGAAAGTGGGGCCCGTGGGGGATTCAAGTTCCCGGTCGGTTGCGGAGTTCAGCGTGGGTTCGGCTACTTCTATGCCGGCCATGGTCGGGAGGAAGCCGTTTAACAGATTCGTGTGATTCATCGATGTTTCTGCAAAGTCTAGTGAGCTTTCTATTTTATTTTTTCTTTTCTTTTCTTTTCCTTCCTTTATTTCTTACTGAACTGGTTGTAATAGTATGTATGAATTTGCTGCTGTGTAATAAATAAGAAAACAATAGAGGAGTGGTTTGGCTTGATTGTTGTGGAGGATTCATATTATTTACGACACTTTTCATTACTCTTGTGTTGTGTTGTTTTTTTCATAACTGTTCAAACTCTGCTTCATATAAAATGTCCAACAAAACATCAGTTTCGCCATGGAGCTCGGTTTATGAAGTCATCCATAATTATTCACAAATAGTGTATTGATATGTGTCTTACAATAAATACACTTTGGACAAGTGTCGATACATTAAGTGATAGATAGTTCCATAAAAAAACAATTTGATGGCTTCATAGAATTTTATTACTTCTGTCGAGATTGAATGAAGCAACAAAGGAAATCTGAAAAGGTAGATAAAAAGAGAGAGGCGCAGCGTTTGAGAGAAAAGAAAAGAATGAGAAAATGAATGAATGAATTAGGGTTTGGTTACAAGATGCAGCTATTTATACTCTAACCTATTAACAACTTTAACTAAAGTTGTTGTACAACAATTAACAATTTACTACAAGCTATTAACAGTAAAGTAAAGAACACTTTTACAAGTATGCTTTGACACTTTTAACAAGATAAAACAATTCTAATACCCCCGCAAGCTAAATGTGGATATTGGACATATTTAGCTTGGATAACATGAATGAAAAGGCAGATCCTGAGAGTGGCTGTGTGAGGATATATGTTACTCGTTGTGTGGTGGATATGAATTCCAGCTTGATGATCTCTGGCTTAGCTTTTATCTGATGAGGTGGCAGTCAATTTGGATGTGTTTCGTCATCTCATGGAACACCGAGTTGGTTGCAATGGCAATGGCTAATTTGCTGTCACAAAACACAACAAATGGGGAAGGATGGACCAAGTGCAAGTCTGTAAATAAGTACAAGAACCATTGTATCTCACAAGAAGTGGATGCAAGGGCTCTATATTCAGCCTCGGCAGAAGATCTACTAATTGTAGATTGTTTCTTGGATTTCCTTGAGATAAGGGAATCACCAAGAAAGACACTATAACCAGTTAGACTCTTTCTAGTGTCCAAACATCCAACCCAATCACTGTCACTATAGGCATGTAATTGTAATTTTGAAGTTCTTGAAAAGAAAAGTCCCTTACCTACAGTACCCTTAATGTACCTAAGTACTCTATGGGCTGCAGATAAGTGTTGTTTTGAAGGATTACACATAAATTGACTAAGGATGTGGACACTATAAGCTATATCTGGTTTAGAGATGGTTAAGTATAAGAGTCTACCTACCAATCTCCTGTATTCTGAGGCATCTGTGGGTTCAGCTGACTTATCTGTGGAGCTGAGTTTCAAAGTAGAGTCCATGGGAGTGCTAGCATGTCTACTACCAAGGCATCCTCTGTCTTTTAAAATATCAAGAGCATACTTTCTTTGACACATGTTGATGCCTTTGTCAGAATGGGCAAATTCAATGCCTAAGATATATTTTAAAACACCAGGTCCTTTATAGTGAAACAGTGATCTAAGTGTGATTTAATGGCAGCTATTTTCTCAGAGTTATTGCCAGCAATAATCACATCATCCACATAAACAAGTAGAGCAATAAAAATGTTCCCATCAGAAAAAGTAAACAATGAACAGTCAACCACAGATTGATGAAATCCATAGTCAAGTAAACAAGTAGTGAGTTTATAGAACCATTGTCTTGAGGCCTGTTTCAGGCCATAAAGACTTTTGGTTAGCCTACAAACTCTGTTGTCATTTTTACCACAATATCCAGGGGGGGTTCATGTAAACCTCTTCATCTAAGTCCTCATGCAAGAATGCATTGTTAACATCTAATTGGTGGATAGTCTAGTTTTTAATAGATGTTAATGCAACTAAAAACCTAACAGTAGTAATCTTGGCCACAAGAGAAAAGGTATCAAAATAGTCTATACCTTCCTCCTGTGTATAACCTTTGGCAACTAGCCTGGCTTTATACCTTTCAATACTACCATCTGATTTATATTTTATTTTATATACCCACTTACAACCAATACAATGTTTACCTTTAGGGAGATCTGTCAAGTACCAAGTATTGGTTTTATCTAATGCATCAAGTTCCTTTTTCATTGCAGCTTGCCAAAGTGGGTCTTTGGCAGCTTGAGTGTAAGAAGTAGGTTCAGTTTGTTTTGAAATAGCTGCAGTTAAACAGGAATGTGATGCAGATAAATGTGATGTGGATAGATAATTTTGAATGGGATAAGGAGTTGTCTCAGAAATGCAATGTTCAGAAGAAACAGTATTGGAAGATGGTTTGACTGAATGATCATATATGTCCAGGTAGGCTGGGATCTTGTGAGTTCTTGTTGATTTTCTTGTGGGAGCAGGGTTGGAGGAGAGAGGTAATATTTGAGTGGTAGATGAAGTAGTGTTGGAAGTCTGATTGAGAGGGGAAAGTGTAGGTATAAGGGGAGAATTTGTAGTATTATAAGGATAATTTGTAGTAATAGGAGGAGAATTTGTAGGTATATGAGGAGTGTTTGGTAGTTGTGGATGTTGGGTTGTAGGGTCATTTTCTGAAAAGAAGTTCTCAGGTGCAACAAGAAATAGAGTAGAGGGAGTTTCAGTTTTGGAAGTTGCAAAGGGAAAAATAGTTTCATAGAACTGAAGATTTCTAGAAATTACTGTACTCTTGGTATCCAGGTTGTAAAGTTTGTAACCTTTACAACCCAAGGGATATCCAAGAAAGATGCATTTAGAAGCTCTAGGTGCAAATTTTGATCTATGAGCAGTAAGAGTATAAGCATAACACAAGCATCCAATAACTTTCAGATGATCATAAGTAGGCAGTTTACCATACAACACTTCAAAAGGAGATTTCTCTTGCAGAATAGGTGTTGGAATTTATTGATGATGTGTGTTGCAGCTAATACACAATCAATCCAAAAAATTAAAGGCAAATTAGCATTAAACAACAAGGCTCTTGCTACTTGAAGCAAATGTTGATGCTTTCTTTCTACTCTAGCATTTTGTTGAGGAGTTTCAACACAACTCTTTTGATGGATAATTCCATTAGTGTTATAAAAATCAGACATAAAGAATTCAGTTCCATTATCAGACCTTAAAACTTTGATTTTCTTATTAAACCGAATGTCTATCATTTTTGCAAAGTTTTGAATGCAGGACTTTGTGTCTGATTTATGCGCTAAGGGAAAAATCCATGTAGTTCTACCCTGATCATCTACAATGGTTAGAAAATAATTGTAGCCATCATGAGATTTGGGGTGAAGTGTCCCCATATGTCACAGACTCACAGTGAATGAGATCAAAGTAATTAGCAGCAATAGATGTGCAAACAGGAAAACTCAATTTCTTCAGTTTAGCATAGTGACAAGTATCACATGGTTTGTTGTCAAGAGTTTTACAATCAGAAGTAAGAATAAACAGTTTAGACATTCTGGTGTAAGATAAATGGCCTAAGTCTACTATGCCAGATTACAGATTTCTGATTACAAGAAGTATTTGCAATTACAGGTAAAGAGGAAGATACATTGGAAATTTTATTAGGAGAAAGAAATGAAAAATTAGATCCAATGTTCAGGTGATAGAGACCATCTCTCAGTTCAGCAAAACCAATTATTTGCTGAGTGGTCAAGTCTTGTAATATGCAACATGATGACATGAATTGAACAACAATGTTATGAGATGTTACCAACTTTGATACTGATATTAAATTAGAATGAAAGTTTGGAACATATAGAACATTGTTCAATTTCAACTTGTCATTAAGAATAAAACTACCTATGTGGCATGCTTGTGTGTGTTGTCCATTTGGCAGATTAATATTAATATGCACAGAATTAGAACAACCAGAGAAATAACTCATGTCACAAATCATATGATCAATAGCACCAGTATCCAATATCCATGAGTTTCTATTTGACACATTGGCGGTCACACATGAGTATGGAGTACCTGTAGCAACTTGTGGATCTGATATAGCAGAGGCAATCATAGGTGCAGATTCAACCCGTGTAGTCTCTTTACTTTGTTTATAAGCTAAAAACTCAGCAAAGAGATCATTAGTCATGGAAGTATGAGTTTGTTCAGTAGTGTTAGTATGCAAGATGTTTGCAGAGGGCTGAGGGGGTCCATTTGGGTTTGGAGTGGGTCTGGGGCCTTTAGGTCCAACCCAATTGGGTGGATAACCAATGATTTGAAAGCATTTGTCAGCAGTATGACCATTATAGCCACAGTGAGAGCATTTAGGCCTTTTCTTGTCTTTGGTAAAAGGAGGTATGGTGTGTTTGGGTGGATAAGAGTTTGTTTTCAGTAACATTGCCATATGATCAAAAGGATTGGTATGATTATGTAAGGTCCTTTGAGATTCTTCTTGAATAAGTAGAGAATAGGCCTTTGAGAGTATAGGCAAAGGTGTAGATAGCAACAGATGGCTTCTTATGGAGGAGTATGAATCATGTAAACCAATGAGAAATTTCATGACTGAGTCTTGATGCTGTGCAATGGACATGGACTCAAAAATATTACAAGTACAAACAGAAAAAGCACCACAAGTACATCTGACAACCAGTCTATATGTTACATACTCATCCCAAAGAGCCTTAAAAGCATTATAGTATTGAGTAATAGACAATGCACCATGATTCATAGTACTCAATGATTTCTCAAGTTGAAAAACCCTAGGACCAGTGCTAAGAGCATATCTATTATGCAATTCAACCCAAACCTCTAGTGCAGATGTAAAATAAAGCAAGGACTGACGAATATCTTTACAAATAAAGTTCAGAATCCATGATAAAACGAGATTATTTGCACGCAGCCAAGCCATAAACTGCATAGTGTTAGAGGAAGGAGGTGGAATGATGATACCGTCTATGAAACCTCCCTTGTTTTTTACGCTGAGCGCCATCGTGATGGCGCGTGACCACGAGGTGTAGTTCTCGCCGGTGAACGTCTCGACGACAATGAGAGCACCAGGATTGTCAGACGCATGGAGGTAGAACGACGTCGATGGATCATCGGAAGGAGAAGCCGTAGTCGTCATGAGTTCAGATCGGAGTTGATCGAAGCAGATCTAGGGTTTCGATTGAGAGATTTCGAAACAGAGAACGAATTTGGCAGCGGAAAACAGAGAATGATCGAAGTAATCACCCAGCGAATGATACCATGTCGAGATTGAATGAAACAACAAAGAAAATCTGGAAAGATAGAGAAGAAGAGAGAGGCGCAACATTTGAGAGAAGAAAAGAACGAGAAAACGAATGAATGAATTAGGGTTTGATTACAAGATGCAACTATTTATACTCTAACCTATTAACACCTTTAACTAAAGTTGTTGTACAACAATTAACAACTTACTACAGAC